AGAAACTGCACTAGCTAGTGATCCTATGTAGTGTCATGTAAGAGCTCATCACAGTGTACATGCCAGCTGGTCCCTCTTTCTCCAGGGACTCTGGATGGCCAGTGAGATACAAACTCCAAAGCACTGTTAACTAGAACTATTTCTCACCAAAAGCAAAAAGCCAAACACATAATCCTAGAGCCACTGGGATTGTCTTCAGAACTACAGTTGGAAATTATACAATTTATAATTTCCACTCTGGCAAATTATAAATTTATATATCAGCACTCTGGTAGATTTTAGACCTAATTAAATACTTATAAATTAAACAGAAAGGCTACTTATTCTCTGGAGATCCCTCATTATAAAATGTAACTGATAACTCTCCACACAAACAGGCAATTATACTTGTATAAAATTAAATCTTCACGTCTTCACTTACAGCCATTTCTTTTTTTTTATTAAAAGAGAACTTGCGAGAGCAGCACAGCTTTAATTTCTAGCAGGTCTACTTTTACAGTAGAAAAAATGTTAATTTTGTCTAATAAGCAAAAAACTTGTATTTTATAGTTTTAATACAACTGTAATCACAGATAACAATGTAGTTCTTTGTTTTCTCTTGATTTTAGCCCACATACTAAAGAAATCAAAGGTACAATCTATAAATGTATATATGGCTTGAAAATCAAGCACCTCATAACTCCTAAAATCAACAGAGCATGGGGCCGGAGTGATAGCTCAGTGGAATAAATGCTTGCCTGGCAAGCACAAGGTCCCAAGTTTGATACCTGGGACCAAGTTTGATACCTGGGACCACCAAAAAAAGAAAAAAAGAAAAAGAAAAAAGAGCAGACTGTGGACAGGGTCTAAGTTTTAACACTCTGCCATTAGCCATGTCTGTTGACTGTGAAGACGCCATTTAATTTCTCAAATATTCACCACAAAATTTATTTTCAATCATTAAGTACTAAAGGCCTATAAAGCATGAGATTTGGTGATAACAACTCTGAACAGGACAAAAAAGTAACCTAATCACATTGAAAGGAGAAGCAACGGTAACAAAGTAGGGCAGGTGACATTGTAGGAAAAGCAAAAGATACTAAAGGCATAAATCTGATTGCACAAATCTAGAAGCACCTGAAATGCTTCTTCAGCCTTATCTGTCACTGTTGGCACTAAACACTCTTCCAAAGGTTTTCACTCCTCTGTCCCTACCCAAACCCTTTGATCATGCTCTCCCAGCCATCAGCCTGTCTTTCCTGGTACACTCATGTGCTCTCTCCAGGCAGCACTCATATTACAATCAAAATAAGCCTCTGTATGTGGAAATCTGAATCATGTGCATGAGGCTCCATTTACTGTCAAATCATTGCTTTCAGACGGTCTACCTGGCCCTACTAGGCATGGCTCTGTCTGGCTCCCACCTACTTCTCTAGTCTATCCCCTCTCCATGTCATACTGGTCTTGTAGCCCATGGGCAAATCAAGCTCTTCTCTGCCCAGGGGCTCTGATTATACTGCCTTTTCCTCCTCACTGGTAAGAACTCCTCTAGCCCATTCATAGTTAGTTTAAGCTGTATTCTCAAGGAGGATTTCCTTTACTAAATCCTACCTGACAAGAGTGCCATTGCAATGGGCACCTGACCTCTGTAGAACAGAGGTGTCACAGAATCCACAGGAGTAGCAGAGCTATCATGGCAGGATCAGATGCCAGGAAAAGGGATTCATAAACTGTGTTTTAAGGCAGGATAGAAAAGCCCTGTGGAGAGAAAGCCCCCAGACAGCTGTGAAGTTAAAACATAAGACACTTCAGTATAGAAATAAGAACTCTAAGAACCTAGCTTGTCCTTTTTCTCTGTATCCCCACAGCTCTTAATACATAGTTGAGAACATATAATTTCTTGACTGTATATTTGAACCAAAGTAAATATCAAGATATTATTTTTAAAAACAAATTTAGCTATTAGATTTGGAAAAATGTGCTCCTCACAACTAGTTCTTATACAACTAAAGGGGCATGTTTTAAGTTGAATATTGTCCTGTCTGGCAAAATTTGGAGAAACTGCCTTACACCAAATATTATTTTTCCTTGTTTGCAGTCCTCTCTCCATAATACTGATGACAAAGAGTACTTGTAAATAACAAGCTGTTGTTAATAGTTCAATGTTTGAGAGCCCTTAAATAAATAACTTAAAAAATTGAGTCTGAGAATACTTCTACATCCAAATCATTTACTTTTATTTATTAAAAGGAAACAAGGCTACCCCCCATTGAATATTTTTTTTTTTTTAAAAAAAAAGCACCAAGTGTCTGCAATGTCTCAGTTTTAGATTTTCAAATGAAAATTTTATACTGAGCATAACCAATGAACTGTCTAATTTTTCTCACCTCGAGAAAGTAGCATCCTGTAATTTTAAAAGCCTAAAACCAGCACCCATGTAACTGACAATCTACAATCTTGGAGAGAATGTTGAATACATTTCCCCACTGCTGCACTGAGATGTCAGAGTTGCCCCTATACAAGTTGTATCAGAAACAATGACAGCAATGGGCACACCTGCCACTCAGAGCTGAGTCTCTAAAAAAAATAAAAAATAAAAAAAAAATTCAGGGATCCTTGGAAAAAACAGGTCTGGTGTATGTTAAACCTAAGAAGAGCCTAGAACAGTAATGGCAAGCCTTCTAGAGCTTTCAATGATACAACAGCCTGCTCTGGCATGTGTGCCACAGGTTCACCACCATTGGCTTAGACACTTTTGTAATTCCAGAAAGGAAGAAAATGCTAAAAAAGAAAAAAAAAATGTTGGAAGCTTGATAAAAGAACACAGGAACCAACCTGAAGGAGCTTTCCTGGTCAAAGCCAGAACACTTTGAGCAGTAAAATGAATAATGGTAGGATTCCATTTTAATTTGTGTAATAAAGACATATGAATCTATTTAGCATTAAAAATGGAGGCTAAGGGACAGATCTTCCTTAGACCTGCAATTAATAAATGTAGAAGAAGAAAACAAAATCATACTGGGCAACCAATACTGTAACACATACAGACAAGATCCACCAGAGGATGGTAAAATGAGTGGGGGAAATGTGAAGCAAAACAAGTGTACAAAATTTTATTTCTTCTAAGACAGAGAAGAATGGTATCTTTATAGTGGAAAAGCCCAGCAGACACATTGTAGCACCTGACCACCAGGACCAGGATGAGTCAGGACTAACGTGCTGCACTGAGGACACAGATCCTTTCTGTGGTATCTTTGCCAAAAATGCATGACCCCATTCCAATTGTGAAAGAAATCAACCAGACCCACATTTGAGAACACTGTACAAAATAACAAAGTAAAAGTCATTAAAAGTGTCAAAGTTGGGCCGGCCAGATAGCTCAGTGGACTACAGCGCCTGCTTAGGCAGGGCACAGCGGCTGGGATTTGATCCCTAGTGTGTCATGCTGACCTGCCCCCAGGGGAAGCTGAGCCAGCGACTGAGACTGGGCATTGTGGCATGTGCCTATAATCCCAGCATTTGGGAGGCTGAACACAGGCGGATCACTGTGAGTCCAGTCTACATAGTGAGACCCTGTAGACCCTGTCCTAAATACATTAAAAAAAAAATTGTCAAAGTCATAAAGAAAAGAAAAAGCCTCAGGAACAGATTTGAGGACATAGATCCTGGCATAGACAATAGGATAGCAAAAAAACTGGTACAATTCAAATAAAGTTGGTTGGTTTAGTTTAGAATACTAAACCAGAGTTAACTTCTTCATTTTGATTATAGCATTTTACCATGGTTATAAAACATGTTACCATAAGTAACTAGATGAGTTGTATACAGAAAGTCTTGGTACTATTTTTTGTAACTTTTAAGTCTAAAATTATTTCAAAATAAGGTTTTTAAAGATACTACATTATAAAGGCAATTAAAATAAGTGTCTTTACTGCACATTTTACTGTAAACATGAAACAGTATGGAAAACACAAGTGGCTTGTTTGCTCCTCCTGTCCGGCACACTGCCTCAGAGACAGTGGGTGAAGCTAGATGGCAGAGAGGTGACACACAACCTTCTGGGAGACAGCAGCACATATTATGGTAACTTCTATTCCCAGATACCATAAAGATAATTCTCAAGTAAAGAAAGAAACAAATATGAGTTGAGACATAAGGAATTGGAGAACAGGCGGGACAAACAATGTTTATTTGCCAAGAGGATTTCTTAAGAATGTTTTTGTGTAGATGATGAAAAAGACTTCGTTTGGGAAAATGGCTCAATACCTTCTCAATGTATTAACTGAGTCAAATAATCTGAGTATTCCTTAGGCTTCCTCTCAAAAATCTTATATTAATAAATCAGTCTCATCTATTACAATATCAGTCACTTTTCACCTATATTTTTCAAGCCTTGTGATTACACACTCTCACTTCATAAGAGTTTTGTAGAAATGAGTTTTACTTGCATTTTTTTTAAAGTCCTAGAGCTTGAACCCAGAGCCTTCACACTAAGCCCCTTAAACTCCCCCTTCCCCCATTTTTAAGACAAGGCCTTGATAAACTGCTCAGGCTGGGCTCATATTTGTGATCTTCCTGCCTCACTGTCATATGGTGCTGGGGTTACAGGTATTCATCACCACACTTGGCACTTTTACCCTCACTTTAACCTTCTCTCAGCATACAAGGAATATGGTGTATGAAAAATATTCAATGAATATCTAAACAGGCAAGTGGAATCCATAGCACTCTGAGCAGAACAACCTGGGGGAATGGAAAGAACACGAGCACTGGAATAATGGATAGGAACTCTCAGTTCTGTGAATTAGTGCTGCCTGGATACCAAGCAAATGCTTCAACTCTGTGAACTTTAACTACATTGCCTGTAAAATAGTAAAAACATCACTTAACTTATAGAATTATAAAGATGACATCGGCTAATTATACACGAAATGCTTAGCCCATGGCACATTATTAGAACAGTATCAGTTCCTTTTTCTTTTCTCTTTTTTGCTGTGCAACAGTATTCTCTGAAAACATACCGATTGAAGTTAATGTCAGGGTAACAAGAATATTCTGATTTCATCTTAGCATTCCGCCGAGGAAATGTGCAGAAGAACGCATTAGCTAAAAGACTGGCGATCTGCTCCTGGGACATTGTGATGGAATGATTCATCTTCTGCTTCAGAAGCGGTATTGGCTGATGGAGGAAAGAGAAATACAGACAACAGCAATAATTAGTTTAGCAATTTTGAAAGCAGAAGTCTTAAATTACATTTGCTAAATTAATGCAGGAATAATTTTGAGCCACTCTTGAATCTTTAAATCAGCAATATTGTTAAAGTCAAGAGCTGCTTATCAGGGTGGGCTGGAAAAGGGTACGTGGTTGACAAACTGCAGATTTCTAATCAATAATTATCATAGTGAGAACACAAAACATTACTCATTAGTTAAAAATGAGATTGCTTTAGCAAGTAAGTAGAAACATTACCCATGTAATGATAAATTAAAACCAAAGACATAACAAAAAAATGCAATATTGAATTCAGTTATTGTTGCTTATGTTAAATTCTGCCTTACATACTAGAAATTGTTGAATGAGGAATTTTTCTATCTTGGGGCCAAGTAAAATGATCTAAGGAAAGTAATTTAATAAATGAGTCTTTTCCTTCTTATTCTGAATCACACTGCATGTGGACAATTTATGAGACTCTAATCTAATTTATTAAAGTAATGTAGTGGAGCATGTGAAAATCATCACACTGACATGGATAACTTGTAACAGGCATTTCCTACATAATCAAACATCCCAAATTAAGGATGATGTTGGACTTTTTAAAATCTTTTACTTCTAAAATGTTTACTACCTGTACCAAACTCAAATTTAGGGCAGTTTCATCATCATTATGATCCATTGGACCTCAGTATTATTTTAGGTGGGTTTTATTCTACTTCAAAGGTTGAAACTATATTTTTAAGGACTGCTAGCTTACCCAATAGATGTTAAGTTTCAAAGTGTCTCCTAATATTTAGACAGGTTTTTCCTTCTCTTTCAGAAAAAAAACAAGAATGAAGAATGCCAAGTATCACTCAAACCAGTTGCCTAGAGTGAACTATCTTGATCATTCTTCAGAAATCAACACACAAAATGTGCCTGAGGAGAGGCAGGCAAGAAGAATGAAAACCACAATATTTCTAAGTAACAGGGAGCACACATCACTGCTGGAACATTTGCCAGAATGAATAAAGGCTTAATCTTGCAATCTAACTACTTCTGTTAGAAAAATTCACAAGTAAACAAAAAAGCAAAATGTATAGAATATACTTCCACTATGGTCTCCAAAATTCTCCCTTTTTTCAGGCCTTCCTAAATGTCATCTCCAAGAAGAAATGAAGGACTCTCATTGATCTCCATTTTACATCTTAAACATTTATTCATAACCCAGCAAGAGTTTGGGCAAGGTGACAGAATACTCATGGCTAAAAGCAAACTAGTATTTGGTTTTAATGAGAAATGAGTTTTTGACTACCATTTACCAAGTAAGCTAGAAAAATGATTTTAAAAATTCACAGTGAATATTTTAGGCTTAATGGACTTGAACCACAAATATTTCTCATACCCAAACAAATGGAAAGTAAGTTTTAAAAGAATACATGACTTCTGCTCTCTTCGTGAAGAGAGATGTCTAAAAGTAGATACTTAGGCAAAAGAGAAGACAGATATCACTGAGAGACACTAGGAGGTTACTACCAGCCAAGATATTTCAAGACATTCCTTCCAAAGTGTCTTTCTTTTGAAAACTCTAAAATTAACATTTTATATTTGACCTAGAGTAGTCTAATGTCGTAAATCATCAAACATCAATGTATACAGTTTAACTTACCAAAAACATATTTTGATCTCAAGTCACATCTTAATTTTCATAGAAGAGATTGACTTTTGGCAGAGCACAAAATTGAGATGAAAAATGCTTTCTTAGTAACACACTAATTAAAGAACAACATTACACTAAGCCAGGATAAAAAGCTGGGGGCCAGGAATCTGATGTGGTTGTACTCAGCAACTTATGGTAGCTTATTAATTTAAAAGTTTTGAATAATAAGTATCTCTTTAAATAAAATAAGGAAACTTCCTCTCCTAGCAGGAGAGAATAAGAGGATTGAGTCTGTCAAAAGGCTAAGTATTGTTGATCATGAATTACACGTTGAATTAAAAAAGAAATTAAGCAACATACAAAATCTAGAGGCACAGATATACCTCTTCAAGGAAAACAATCTAGTGGGAGATTTGTAAAGACGTCAGTTAAAAACAGTGTGGGAAGCATAACAGTGTGGCTAAAGATTCCCTGGGGAAAGCAGGAAAGACTTCATAAGGGAAGTAGTAAAAGGCAGAATTAGACAGTAGCAAGACGTTGTACAAGGTAAGAAGGGAAAAAAGTATGTAATATAATGAAGTAACTTCTAGCAGAAAGTGTTATTTTTAAATATATTTTCTGTCTAATAATAAAATTTATTTTAGACACAATGTATCACTGAGATGAAATTAAAGTTTAAAAGTACTGGAAACATTATAGCAAAAAGCTAACAAATGCAGTACACCAGTTCTCAACTACTGGTGGCAAGACCACACCTAGGCCTCTCATTTGCGTGGGGGTTTCTGGTTGACACAGTGACACTGCTTGAGAAACTATTACATTCCCAAACCCAAAATGTCCCAAGAACTCTTGAGGAACAACAGTGTTAGAACCCCTGGTTAGCATCACAGTAAGGTGCTGGTCCTAAAACAAAAAGACAAGGGCAAATACAAACACAGGAAGAAAATGATGAACAAAACAACCTCTTAAGAAGGTCTGAAAATATGCTCACAAATTCTCTGATATTAATCCCTTTAAGAAGTGGAGTCTAATCCCTTGCTTGGGTCAGAGCTATAATTAGTGATGTGCTTCTAATGAGTAGAAAAACAGACTAAGTGATATTGGGAGGCTCAAGAAACTTGGTCACAAAAGGCACTGTAGCATCTCCTGCTGTTTGTGAGCAATAGCCAAGCCAGCCTGACCAAGCCTTTGGAGTATTCTAGTCCTCACCTCACCCTGACTGGAATCACAAGACAGACGGAACCATGACTTCCTTAGCTAAGCTAGTCAGTCCCAAATTCATGGTCAATAACAACTGCTGCATAATACATATTAACTGCTTTAAGACATTAAATTTTGGTGTAGCTTGTTATATAGCAATGTATAATTAGTACATCCTATACCTAATGAAGTGATATTATATCCTTTCTTTTATTCTTAAGTACTATGAACCCATTTATTATATCATTTTGGAGGACTGAAAAAGTGGGGAGCCTTTTGAAAATATATCACAAATCCATTAATATGTTTGAAATGACTGTTTTTCAAAAGATACAGCTTGTTTTCAATAAGAAGAAAGAAATCTGAGTAAGCAAACTTCAGTGTCAACAGAAGCTGAGAAATTGAATGATGCATTTTTAATGTCCTTTTGTAGCATCCTATCTCACCTTTAACCTTTTCCTTAAAAATAACAACATTATCATATTCATTGGCAAATCTGCTTCTCTGATCCAAAGTGTGCTGAGGACATCTGCTCACTAACCTGTGTGCAAATACTTGGCAGGCAGAGTGCAGCCTTCACCATGTCAGGCAGAATGGACTGATACAGATGCTGGGCTTCTGCCTCCTCGAGTATCTGGAAACCAAAAGATATGCAACATGAATAATAAACCATGACTGCTATGAAAACTATGAATCCATTTTTCATGGCATCCTGTTATAATGCTCATAATCATCATCACTAAACACATGTAAAGACAAATCAACAGGAAAGTCACACTTACAAATTCATTTGTAAACATATATAATCTATCATGTCATCTGAAAACAAATTACATAATGAAGTTGAACATCTCACACCCATGTGCATAATCACATGCAATATTTATAAACGAAAACTAGTGCACTGAGCCCTTGTTATGCCAAATGAGAACTGTTAGATAACCAAAGAAATCAGAAAAGCTACACTACTACTTCAGAGCACTCTATATGTACCAAATTTAAATTGCTGGGCAGGATACAGCAAGATTTCTCATAACCTCAGAACTTTTATTTTCTAGGCACCTGTTGTGATCAGGGCTTGCAAGGGAAACACTACAATACAGGACACAGAATTTATAATATTAATTTATAACAGTCACCCAAAGAATCACATACAAAGACAGTGCAGGAAATCTGTCCACACACGAAAGGCCAAAGACTCCAGCTGAGGACCTGTATCCCATGGCAATGTCCTGCATGAGTTCAGCTGAAGACTTAAGAGAGTCCATAACAATGCCTCCGAGTCCAATCTAGAGGCCAATAATAGCCTGTAACAATGACTCATGGAAGTCGTTTCAAAAATCTGCACTGGGAAGGCCCAAAGGTCAGTGGTGGAAGCTAGAAAGTCTGTGCCAGCGGGATAAAGATCTGTGTCAGCAGGCTGAGGGATCTGCCAGGAAGCAATGCTCAAAGTAACAACCACAGCCCCTTTGAAAAGTACCAGAGCCATTTTCAACAACAGGAAGGTCCTGAGGTCCTCCAGTGAGAGAACAGCTGAGTCCATTATCAGGAAAGCCAAACTGACAAGCTTCTCCAGGACGCTGAACAGTGCACCATCTTTCCCTCTGGAACCAGGAAGCAATGCTCAAAGTAAGGACCAGAACTCCCCTAAAGTGAAGTACAGCCATTTTCAGTAACAAGGTCCCAAGATCCTTCAGCAATGAGAATAGGTGAGTTCTTTTTTATCAGGAAAGCTACTATAAGCTCCTCCAAAATAACCAACACCTCGAGGAAAGCCAAAAGTTTCCAGTGGCTCCTCTTCTTTTTCTCCAGTTCTCCTTTTTTATTTTGTTGGCAACAGTCCTCAGGTGGGCCCTCCATACCCAGCACCACCGTGATTCAGCTGAGTTGGGTATTACAAGCTGACCACCAGTTGTCAACCCATCACAGCACCCTTGGCAAGTTAAAACCATTTCTACATCATAATTTGAAGCACACAAAAAAATGACATTCAAGGTTTATTTTTTGTCTTTTGTAAGTTCTAATCTCTACCACCTAGAGAACACAAGACTATTCTGGGGAAAAAAAAATTGTACAAGACGGTAGAATAGTACTAGGCTACAGCACCTAGTCTAGATGAATAGGGCTTATACCATTCTCTTGACAAAACAGAATACTGATAAAATTAAAATGAACATGACAACTATAGTAGGAAAAAGGAAGAGGCAGAAATAAGAGTGCTGTCTGGGAACAAGGACAGAGTAGCTCCTCAAGGGAGAATGGGAAGCCAGCTATCAAAAAACATAAAGCATGGAATAAAGTGGAACCTTCTGTACCACTGATAAAAACAAAAACTAAATTCGTAAGTCATTTTAGAAAAGACATTCTATTTTAGATGTACAAAATAAACACATTGCTTTCTTATATCTGAAAATGCATGAAATATATTAATGCATTTATTTAAAATACTCAAACTCTTCCTACTTAGAATTTATCATTTACCATTTAAAAACTTTTTATATGGAAACAATCATAGCTCCGTACATTGCAAAAATGGTATAGAGGGGTACAGTTTTCCTTCATAATGGTATGTATTTGTGTACTCACCCAAATCAAGACCCTACAGAACCATTCCATTCCAGCAAAGGTCTCAAACTACCTATTTAGATCCACATTATGCCTGCCTTCTCCTACTCAAGATTTTTTGTCTTTGGTTTTTTGGTACTGGGGATTGAACTCAGGACCCTGTACTTGCCAGGCAAGCGCTTATGCCTCTGATCTATCTCCCTGGCCTTTCCTTCTCTTACTGTCACTAGTCTCTAGCATCCACCAATCTGTTTTCCATCTCTGGAACTGTGTCATATACAACCACATCCATTTGGCTTGTGTTCTTTCAAAACTGACCTTTCCATGCAAGTATGCCACTGAGATTCATGTAATTTGTTCAAAGTATCAATAGTCCACTCTCAGATTACTGAGTAGTATTCCATGATATTAATATATCAGTTTGTTTAGTTATTCCCCTACTGAACAACAACTTGGTTTCTAGATTTTGATATTACAAACTGCTATGGCTGGAGTATGTTCCCCAAGTGTTCACATGCTGGTGGGCAGCTCAGTGTGGCAATAAAAGGAGGGGAATGGAGTCTTTTTAAAAGGTGGAGCCTAATCAGAAGTCAGTGGAATGCTGGCCTTGGTAGGGTTAATAAAGTTCTTCTGGCACTGAAATTAAGTAAGAAGCTGTTAGGAAAAAACAACTGGCCTACCCTTAGTCTCTCTGGCTTCTTGATCTCTCCCTCTCTTATGACTCCCACCACAATGCCATCTGAACATGATATAGGCAAAGGTCCCTCATCAGCACTGAGCTACTGCCAGCCCTTGAACATCCAGAATGGTGAACAAAAGCAACATCCTTTTTATGATGCCTTAGGACTATTTCATTATAGCAACAGAAAGCAGACTAATACAGTTACCTTTTATTTTCTACTCACCTATATCATTGTTTGACTTCTAAATAACACAATGTGCTAGTCTTAAAATCCACTCTGTAAATCTTTAAATAACTGGATGTGGACCATTTATGTTTAATGTAACCACAGATATGCTACAATTTCAGTCTGAAATTTCTAGACTGATAGTGAATTTTGTAAAGTGAATTTTTCCTCCCATTTATGTATTTGGTACAATGTCTCACTATGCAGCTCGGACTCATAGTGATACTGTTTTCAGCCTCTCCAGTGCTAGGGTTACAGGTGTGTGCCACCATGCCCAGACTTGGCCGCCAGCTCAACGTGGGACTGGGTATCAAACCCTGGTCCCTGCACTTGCCAAAGCAGGCTCTTAGTCTGCTGAGTTATCTCACTGGCCCTGCTAAGTACTTTTGATTATGCATTGTGAAGATTTTTAAAAAATCATTTATTTATTTATTTATTTGGTACAGGGTCTCACTATGTAGCTCAGACTTGTGATCCTCCCATCTCAGCCTCCCCAGGGTTGGGATTACAGGCATGCACCATCACTCCTGGTTTTTGGACCTGCATAGTGAGCCCAATGGCATAGCATGTGGTACTGGGGACTGAACTCACTGAACTATCTCCCCAGCCTTTTTTTTTTAAATTAAGAAAAAAATTTTTTTTTCATTAAGACTTTTAATGGTCATTCTAGGTATTGTACTATTAACTTATCACCATCTACTGGTATCAACTTTCTTTCAGTTCCTTTAAATTTCAGTGACTACCTTTCTTGTGGTCCTACCTTCCCTCATTTATAGTGTTTATCTCCTCTAGCTACGTTAGACAGCATTCTATAATACTTAAGGGTAAAAAATGTTTTAATAGTAAATGTTCAGAAAGAGGAAATGCCTGTTATGTTTACTCTTTCCCTTGTTCTTCCTGATAGTTCAAGGCTTCTCCTTTTACCATTTCTTTCTTTCTTTTTTTTTTAACCATTTCTTTTGCTTAAAGAAATTTCTTTAATATTTTTTCATTACCAGCCTGTTTTCTTTCCCCTTCCTCCTATAAGCTATTTGAAGATGGTGAATTTCATGTCTTTTCAATTGTATATATTTTTTTCAATTGTGTATTTTGTATAATTTTATTTTATTTTGTAGTATCAGGAATAGAACTCAGGACCTTGCACTTGTCAGGCAAGTGCTTCTGCCACTGAGCTATCTCCCCAGCCTTTGATTGTGTATTTTGAATGAACTGAATATAGATGTTCAGATACTGGATATAGAATTTTGTATTGGTAGTTTTTTTTTCTTTCAATTCTGTGCTCTTTTTGAATTGAAGAAAAAAAAAAAAAAACCATTCTGTGCCTCTTCTTGCCCGTTCCCTGTTGTCAATGGGTTGCCTCTCTTGCTGTCTTCAAGATTTCTTTCATTGCCTAAAATGTGACTATAGTATGTCTTTTGGAGGGATTTTTCAAAAACAGCTTGGGGTTCACTCAGTTTCTTGAAACTGCAAGTTTGTGTGTTTTGTCAAATTTTAGCAGTTTTTTAGCATCACTTTGTTAAATATTTTTTCTTCCCTCTTTCTCCTCTTTTTGATATTCCAATGTTTCAGGGATCTATAAAGTTTTAAATAAAAAGCCTATTTCTTTCTTGCTTAGATTAATAATCTTTCCAAATTCACTGAGTCTTTCCTATGTTATTCTCCATCAACCCATGCATTTTTAAAATCCAGTAAATATAATTTTCAATTTTAAAATGTCCTTTTGGTTGTTTACAGTCTTATTTATTGCTGGTGCTTTCCAATTTTTTCATTTGTTTCAAGCATATGTGTAAGTGCTCACTGGAGCCTTTTTGTGATGGCTGCTCTTAAAGGCTTGTGAGATGACGCTAACACCTGTACTATCTTTGAGCTGATGTCTATTGGTCTCTTCCTAGTTCAGCTAAGATTCTCCTGGTTCCTGGTGATAAATGGTTTTCTGACTAGTTCTTCTGACCTAGACATTTGGATTTCTGCAACTTTGTGTTTCATTTAAATTCAGGTTCCCAGCAGGTAGCAGAGCCACGCAGCGGAAGCGTGCTGGGCCCATAAATTCAGGTTCCCTCCTCGGCCTTCTTGGCCCATGGTAGGGAACAGACACCTTGGTACAGATGGCTGGGAACACTCAGGCTCCGCACAGGCCTCTTCTTGTATCACTCTAGTTCAT